TGTGTATGTGTATTTTTAGTACAGACAGGGTTTCACCATGTTGCCCAGGTTGGTCTCGAACTCCTGAGCTTAAGTGATCTGCCTGCCTCAGCCTCCCAAAGTGCTGGGATTACAGGTGTGAGCCATGGTGCCTGGCCTCAACTGCAACCTTAAATTTGCAATTGCCATGAGTCAAGAGAGCCCCAGCTGTGTCCATGTGGAAAGCCCCCAAGGCTGGGTGTGTGTGTGTGTGTGTGTGTGTGTGTGTGTGTGTGTGTGTGTGTGTATATGCCCTGGACCATGTACAGTTGAAGAACATGGGTTTGAACTCCACAGGTCCTCTTACAAGCAGATTTTCTTCCATCTCTGCCACTCCTGAGATAGTAAGACCAACCCCTCCTTTTCCTCCTCAACCTACTCAATGTGAAGATGATGAGGATGAAGGCCTTTACAACAATCCACTTCCACTTAATGAATAGTAAATATATTTTCCCTTCCTTAAGATTTTCTTAACTCTTTGTTTTCTCTAACTTACTTTATTATAAGAATACTATATGAAATACATGTGGTCAGGCGCAGTGGCTCACGCCTGTAATCCCAGCACTTTGGGAGGCTGAGGCGGGCGGATCACAAGGTCAGGAGATCGAGACCACGGTGAAACCCCATCACTACTAAAAATACAAAAAAAATTAGCCGGGCACGGTGGTGGGCACCTGTAGTCCCAGCTACTCAGGAGGCTGAGGCAGGAGAATGGCATGATCCCGGGAGGCGGAGCCTGCAGTGAGCCGAGATCACGCCACTGCACTCCAGCCTCAGGGACAGAGCAAGACTCCGTCTCAAAAAAAAAAAAAAAAAAAGAAATACATGTAACATACAAAGCTTGTGTTAATTGACTTTATGTTACCCATAGGGCTATTAGTAGTTACGTTTTGGGGAAGTCAAAAGTCATATGTGGATTTTGACTGTATGGGGGCCGGCGCCTCTAACCCCAGCACTGTCCGAGGGTCAACTGTGTACCTTGTTAGCTTGAACTGCAGCTCTTTTCTAGTGCACTGGCCTCACTTTTTTGGTTTCTTTGCCCCTGGGGCTCATGATTTTTAGCCTGTTTCTTTTCTCTTTTGCCCACAGATACGGTTCAATTGAATTAAGCATTCCTCAATACTAAGGCATTGGAAATAAAAACAACCTATTTCTGAGAATAAAAGAGGACAGCTAGCATGACACCAGTGGCCCCAGCTACTCACCCTAACCCGGATTCTAGGATAGAACACTCAGGATCTGGGCACTGGACACTGATGATAAAGGATTAGATATTAATGATCAACCTGAACCAAGACATAGTCATTGCTCAACTTCAATTTTTCTTCCTTTTTTTTTTAATAGTGAAAATCAAGAGGCTGGGCCTTGAAGCATCTCAGCAAGCATGACGTCCTCTACACCATACCCTCTGGCCTGGGGTTCAGCAGTCTTCACCATTCCCATTCCATGAACCCCTCAAAATCAGGAATACAGGTAGGAATACAGGCAGCCCACATAGCAGGCAAAGGTAATGGAACTAGCCCACCAGGAAGGGGGACTGAGAGGAAAACTCTACACATTTCTGGTTTTCTATCTTCCCTTTCCACTTTTTTTTTTTTTTTTTTTTTTGGAGATAGTCTTCACCCAGGCTGGAGTGCAGTGGCACAATCTTGGCTCACTGCAACCTCCGCCTCCTGGGTTCAAGCGACTCTCCTGCCTCAGCATCCCAAGTAGCTGGGATTACAGGTGTGTGCCACCATGCCCGGCTAATTTTTGTATTTTTAGTAGAAATCGGGTTTCACCATGTTGGCCAAGCTGGTCTCGAACTCCTGACCTCAGATGATCCCCCCGCCTCAGCCTCCCAAAGTGCTGGGATTACAGTTGTGAGCCACTGTGCCTGGCCCCTTTCCACTATTTAATGCATGTCTACCTCTTCAGTCCTTTCTACAATTCAGTGATTAATGATTATGTGCTCAGTACCATACTCAGCATTTTGGTCCTCTTCCTGTTTTTCAAAATGTCTCTCTTGCCCCTGCCACTCCCTTTTCTTGGCATCACCCAGTTTCCCACATGTAACTTTAAGAGTCTCTCCATGCTTCATTTTCAAGGACCTGGCTCCTTTCTTCACAGTGAGTAATAGGAGTTGGTCCTTGGGGGCTGAGGAGAGAGGGACAAGTAGCTCTGAATAGCGCCTCAGAAGCTAACATGGCAAAAGAGGAATGTGTGGGTAGGTAACAAAGTAAAGACAACTGTAGAGTGTTTTATTTCTATTCAGGATTTAAATAACACCTTTGTCATCAAAGTAGCTATGTCAGCATCAATGACCTGCTGATTATAAAATTTATCCTTGGCAGAGAGAAAGAGAATTAACCTTTAATGAATAATTGCCATCTGCCAGCACTGTGTAAGGCTAGTGATTCTCAGTATTTTAATCATCAAGGATTCCTCTGAGATTCTTGTAGAAGTTATGAAATCTCTCCCCTAGAAAAATGCAAATGTACACAAAATTTTACATCGAATTACAGGGGCAAACCATTGTCCTGAAGCATAATCACAGACCTTAGATTCAAATCCTCCGTGCCAGATCCTTGTTATTGAGATGGATACCATTCTCCCCACCTTACAGATGAGGCGACAGGAGATTCAGGGACATACCCAAAGTCACATACCTAATAAATCACAGCCACAGGCCGGGTACAGTGGCTCACGCCTGTAATCCCAGCACTTTGGGAGGCTGAGACGGGGAAAATCACTTGAGTCCAGGAGTTCAAGACCAGCCTGGCCAACATGGCAAAACCCCTTCTCTACAAAAAATACAAAATTAGCTGGGTGTGGTGGCACGCACCTGTAGCCCCAGCCACTTGGGAGGCTGAGGTGGGAGGATCACCTGAGCCTCAAAGGCGGAGGATGCAGTGAGCCAAGATCACACCACTACACTTCAGCCTGGGTGACAGAGTAAGATGCTATCTCCAAAAAAAAAAAAAAAGCAGCAGCTATAGACTGAATGTTTGTATTCCCACAAATTACTTTTGAAACCTAATCTCCAATGTGATGATATTAGGAGGTAGGGTCTTTGGGAGGAGGGGTCTTTGGGAGTGTCTTTGGCAGGGCCCTCATGAATAGGATTAGTGCTCCTCTAAAAGAAGCTCCAGAAAGATCCCTCATCCCTTCCACCATGTGAGGTTACAGTGAAGATGGCTATCTGTGAACCAGGGAGTGCACCCTCAGCAGACACCCAATCTGCTGGCGCCATGTTCTTGGACTCCCCAGACTGCAGAACTGTAAGACGCACATTTTTTATGTTGAGAAGCCACCTAGTCTATGGTGTTCTGTTAAAGCAGCCCAAGCCCACTAAGACAGCAGCAGGAACATTTCAACCTGAGCTGTCTAAACACACCTTCCTGCCTCAAATGAAAACCTCATCTAGGTTTTCCTGTTATTGTAACCATCACTCCTTATTTTTTAAATGAAGAAATAAAAATTATGTGAGAAACTGAAACCCATGTGAAGCATTCTAGACTCAGTCATGGGAAATTAGGAAGCTCAGGATCCTGGAGGCTCCAAATCATACTTCTTATCAGCCAAAAACCCCGTTCCTCCCGAACCCACCCACCCAGCTAAAAACAAGCCAAAGAGGAGCCTTTCTAGGGGCTTCACTTTCCTCAGAACAAAAGAAAAGCTCTCTTCAAAATCAGCAGTCAAAATGTGAACTAATAGACCAGTCAAACCTCTGGATATGAAACAAAACAATTTTAATTTCAGAATATTACAAGAATATAAAAGAAAGACAATGCATAGGATCGTTTCTTTACAATTACACACATATAGTCAAATAAGAATGAAAACTTTAAACAAAACAGTTAAGAAACCTTGTTTCTCTTGTTGAGCAAGCTCAGGGATAGGACAAAGACAACACTTGCTCTGCAGAAAGAACCCTGGGGTGAGGGAATATTTCCCCCCACAGGTTCTATCTGTCCCCAGACATGGCCAGGGGAGGGCTCCATGGCTCTTTAGCATAGGCTATGGCCTCACACACTCCAGTCTCCATGGTAACCCAAGCACTCAGGCTATTATGTCCCACATCTCCTCGCTGGCCTGCTTCTGTCAACTCTGTGCTGGTAGAAGATCTTAGCATTAGCTGTCTAGGGAAGCTAACCTCCTACAGTGAGTTTTAGTTGAGTTAATCAACACTGGTGTAAAAAGCCTGTGCATCTTAGGAACCCAAATCTTCCCCAAATTCTAGACAAGCCCACAAAATGCTAGTATCTAGGTTTAGATCTAGGTCCTATCTTCTGTTTGAAGGTTTCAGGGTAAAGGAGGGCAGAGATAAGGTTCTCTCCTGGGGAAAGGAGTTCTACACAAAAATGACCTCAGAATGGGGGCCATTAGCCTCAAGCATCTGTATGAGGCCTTGTAGGAAAGAAGACAGAGTCTAGAGACATCTATTTCTAAAAATCACCCGGTTGCATGGCCAGTCACGGTGGGGCACATTCCCAATGACCACAGGTTCTCCTAGAAGGCAGTATTTTCAACTGTATGCTAACACAGGCTCCTGTGAGGGAAGCTGAACAGAAACATTCCTACTCAGGAGGAGAGAATGGCTCTGTTCTGACACTCTAGGATCGACTGTTCTGTTCTAGGTTAACAGAACAGACCTCTGGAGCACCCAGGTGTCACTGTAGTCAACAGCCCTCCACTAGCCCATTTCCCAAGGGTGTTCCCTTATCCTTCCTGAACGACTCTGGAAGGACATTCTGGGTAAAGAACTTTCTTTTGTGGAGGATCAACTGTAGTTTTGGTTACAATTCATTACCTGCTCCTATTTTGGCACTCAGGAAGAGTCAGTATCTCCTGATGCTCTTTCACTGCTGGCAGGGTTTTCCACACCACATTCATTGGTCCCAATGCAAAAGTTTATCATTGTAAAAGGTGATAAACTCCAACACCTACGGTTCTCACCAGTTCAGTCAGTGGGGTTCACACAGTACAGTCTGGACCAGGAAGGTGGCCTACAGTTTAATATGTGTATCCTGGCACAAACACAACGGCCCATATTGACACCACATCAAAGCCCATCACAGGTGACCCCAGAAAGAAATGAAGTTGTAAAAACCACAAGAAGAGGCACTCTCAAAGAGATTGTTCCAACATGAAAAACAAACACAATGAAATGGATTCAAAAACAATCTTATAGATTAAAAAACTCTGTTAAATACTGGCTCAAAAACAATACCTGCCCACCAAATCAGAAGGGAGACAGCAGCTTCTGTGGCAAATGATAAAAGGGGTTTTGTCTGTGTTTTCTGTAAGATTCCACAGGATTAGAATAGTTACATATTACAAGGTAGAAGGTTATGCTGCTTACTCCTCAAATTTGGATTCTAAGTCAATCACAGCTTCTATTAAGAAAAATGACCTATAAACCCCTAAAGCAAGGGAAAACATCCTCAATAAATAAACAAACACACACAAACTGCCCAAGGAGACCAGCTATATAAACGCATGTGCATGTGATAAATATCTCTCTCGCGACCCTCACCCCAGAACACAACCCTTGCTTTCTGATTCCGTTCACCCAAAGAGCATCTACATCCGTCTCAATCTCAGCTACTTCCCTTAAATAGAACCAAAAACTAACACAATGACAAGGAGCTATCAGGTCACCACTCTGCTCCCTCTACCTGATGCCAGCCCTGTTTAACAGACCACAGCACCACTTCAGGATGAAGCACATCTAAACAAATAAAGGAAAGAAGGAAGAGTTAAGGAAGAACACCATTTCAATTTGGTGATACCAAAAGGGTTTTCTGTTTGAATTAACTGCTATCTGGTGTAAGGGATTTCATTTTCTTAATAAGAAAAAAAAGTCAAATATTTAATAGAAACCTACGCAAATGAATTTGCTAATATGTGTTTTTAAAAATGACATAAAACTACTCTAGAGAAAGGGGCTTCTAAGCAGTTTTGTTTTCCTAACCATCTATTGTTCACACTCTATTAAGCTGGAAGACCAAATTTTACATTTTTCTCCACTATTGCTGTTACAGCAGCAAAAGCAGCAGACAGGCTGGCAGAGAGGGCTGCCAGCTGGGCACAAGGCCAAACTCTGCTCCCCCAGAGTCATCTTTCATTTCGGCAATGGTGCAGCATATTCAACAGTTTAGAAATAGGTCAGCAAACCACATTTTGTGGGGCAACTGCTTCCCCATAGTGGCCTGACTCGGCTCGAACCCACAGGGTGAGAAGGGTTATACAGCTCCACAGAGCCAGGCACAAACCTGAGCATTCTCCCCTGCCACGTGCTGCTCTCTGGGCAGACACCAGTTCATACTAGGTCGAAGCCATGCCACTGCTCCATCCAACATATGTGAACACACCAAGTCCAAAAACCAGAAGCTCTGGCCTCATCTCCAAATTACCACCTGTGCCCCTTCTGACAAGGAGAGGGCGGCACAGTAATACTCCTTGAACACTGGTGATAAGCCACAGTTGCTTCCAAATAAGAACATTCTCTCCTTTAAATCGTGTCAACCCTGCAGAGGCTGCTGCTGGCTTCTTTTTTCGGATTCTAACTCGTTCTCAGGAGACGGTCTAGCCTGCACCCTGAGAGGGTGCAATATAATCCCACCCATAAAGACTCATCCTGGGACATAAAGGCAGCCAGCCCCTCCTAGGCACACTCCAGAGCTTCCCCGACATATAAATATTTTAGCAAACTTCTACTATGCTGTCAGTGACTTTTCTTGAGTCACAGTGATTTGGTTCAGAAGTATTACGTTGGCACCAGAGATGTTTTAGTCAAGAGGAAATTGAATGAAGGTAACAAGTTCAGCAAAACACAATTATTATGACATCACTGAGGAAAGGGAAAGAGAAAGAGATGGACAAGGGAGGGAGAAATGGATGGAAAGAAGGAAGGAAAAGAGTTTAATAATTAAGATTTGTTAAAATATTGTATCATTCTGAATTCTCTTTTTCAATACTGCAGGTCAAATACTCTGGTGTCAGACCCAAGAAATAATAAAAAATGTCCAGAAAAGCTATAAATTCTTTGGACACAAATTAGGTATTGAGGAATACAGCCTCATAAAATAAAGAGTTTTCCCAACGCTCAAAGTGAAAACAAGGGAAAGGCATCTAGCTTAGAGCCCATCCAAAAGCATGGCTTTTAAAACAAAGAAATAAACAAAAACAACCAAATACCCAACACTATCAAAACAGAGAAAAACCCAAAATATCCATTAAAAAATAACATCAAGCCACTAGGACTGACAGTGCTTTTTCAAAAATTACTGGCAGTTGAGCACACATCTCATATTTTTTTCAAAAGTGGAATCTGCCTAAACCCATTGAATGAGCACTGAAGCCCACCTTACTGTGCTATATAAGCTGGTTGGACAGTTAGTGGTTTCCCCATAATATTAAAAAAGAGAGAGAGAGCCTAAGCACTCTCTCAGAAGGCACAGCTTACAAACATCATCCAGTGAGTGGGATTAGAGGTATCAGTTGGGTCACGGTATTAGTTGGCCTTGACAATTCAAAATGCAGCAAGCAAGCTGCAAGTCCAAGCTTTGCTGTGGGCAGGAGTAACACCTTGTCCACTAAAGAGAAAATTCTGCATGGACCATAGGAGACAACTCTGGATCCTTCAGAGAAATCCTAGGTTGAAGGAAAAACAAGAGCATTAGACATGTTCTTAAATATTTCTTTTTGCAAACATCCCATTCAGAAGCCACAGGGTCTACACTTAGTATCTTCTCCAAACTGAGGGCTAATGAGTTTAATTAAGAATTTGTGACTCTGTCAAATAAACATCTGCCTGACATAATCTCGTTCATTAAATCATCTTAATGGCTATAACAGCTAAGAATAAGTGCATATTTTGTGCTGCTCTAAGTTATTTATGTACATTATTTATCCTCACAATAACCAGTATATGAGGTACTACTCCTACCATTTTACAGAGGAAGAATCCACAGCCTACACAGTTCACTTGCCCGAGGACTAATAGCTATCAAGCAGCAAAACTGGGAATGGAACCCAAGCCCAGCTGAATGCAGAACTCATGCTCCTACCACCACTACCCCTCTCAACAGTGAATGTTTACTAAAAGTCAACTCAGCACAAGGCACTGTCATTTTTCAGAGGAAGAGAAGAACAGGAGACAGAAGGCCACAAATACACTAAGTCTGACGTTTGTCTTCTAGAAGAGAAACTAGTTACAGAGATAAGACAACACATGTGAAGTAAATATAGTAAATCATACTGTCAATATTTTTGTAGCATTAATAAGTTCAAAGGAAAAAATATTATATCTAGCTGCATTAGCCAGAGAAAGTTTCAAAGAGGAGGTGAGATTTAGGCTAGACTTTGAAGAATGGGTAAGATTTTGACTACTGAAACTAATGGCCATTAATAAGTAGGTGCTAAATCAGTAGTTCTCATGTGAAGGTGACTTTGCCTTCTCACCCCCATGGGACATTTGGCAATGCCTAGAAGCACTTTTACTTATCACAACGGGGGGAAGAATGCTCCCAGCATCTACAGGGTAGGGGCCAGGAAGGCTGCTCATCATACAATGCATATGGCAGCTCCCGCCACAAAGCATTATCTGAACCAACATGTCAGTAGTGCGCCAAGGTTGAGAAATCCTGTACTAAATAAAAGTCTTTTTGGATTATGTTGTTGATCATAGTAATAAAATGTCATTATCTTCTTCAAAGAATATTTTCCTTTATTATAAACATCACTATCAAAAACTCTGGGGTTGTGTATTCATTGTTGTGTAAAAGAAATATATGGCAGGCACCTGGATCTGTGGGCTTGGAGACTGCCAATGTCTGAAGAGAGTTCAGACCTGGAGTTGCCAGGCTGGAAGTAGTTATCACACAGAAAGCAGAGCTGAGCAGTGGAAGGAGACCAAGCTGCAAAGAGGCAGGAGAAGCAAGAGCAGAAAAGAGCAGAGAACTTAAGATAGAGTGTTGAAAAAAATAAAGATGTAGTGGAATAGGCAAACAACAGTAAGCCACTGCAGACAAGGAAAAGAATTAAAGAGGAAGAAGGAGAAAGAGAATAATATAGCATCATAACACCAGGAAGGCATTTCCAGAGAGAGGAAGTGACCAGGAGACAGTAAAGTGAAAGTGCCATTGCCTGATCCAATTGAGGGCCATTTGTTATCTCGACTTCTCTGAACTACTAATATTTTTGAGAATCTAATTAGAACTATATATTCTCTCCCCCAGAAAAACACACATATATACCTACATAAAAGATTCCATCAACAATACCGAGAACTTTATTAGACCATTTAGGAAGTCCACAGATGACAAGGTCAAGAATCCCTGCTCTAAAGCTTACTGGTGAAATATTAAACTGGTTTTTAAAAAATGTCTTTATTTCCAAGGTAGAGTTGTCAATACAGAAAGATATTATTTCCAGATGTCTTTCAAAAATGAAAGCAACAAAAGGTGTAACTGATATAAAACAATGTAGCCTTCAAAAATAACTTATGCTTGGTTTTGATTCACGGACATACAGAAATATTTAGACACAAAAAACTCAAACACCCATCTTGTCTCAATTAGACAGCCCAGCATAGAAGACAGAAGCAAGCAGGAAAGAAAAGAGAGTTTAGATAATTCATTCAAGGATAAGTAAGAATAATATACTGAAATCTAATTTTCCAGAAAAGAATTTATCCAAAAGGATTAGGCTTTTGTTCTCTTTCTATTGCTGATGTCTCAAATAGTAATTATGCTCATGTCCCAGCGATAAAACGATCATGTCAAACCAGACTCACTTCAGCTGCCACATGAGCCTTATATAACAAGACCAGGTTTCAGCCCGTTTTCTATAGTAACAACTATAACCACTTGTTAATGCTTTAACAATGACAGTGTGCTGCCAAAACATTATTTCAATTGAGCCTCATAATAAATTAATAAATCTATGAAGTAGATGTAACTTTTATCCTCATTTTCAGAGGAGAAAACTTGGATTCAGAGAGAATGAGTGGTTTTCCTGGGTCAGAGGAATGATAGCTCCCATCAGGACTAACCACAAATCTCACAGCCTTTCCACTGGCCCACTTGGCTCCTTCAGAGGAAGGCACAGCAGCCTTTCACCAGAAGAGCCTGGGACTATCAGCAGTCCCAGCATTAAACAGTCCTCTTTGTCCTAAATAGCCCCCAAAATATGCTGTACGATATGACGTCCAGGATTCTTAGGCACGAGCTGTTGATCTGGAAAGCTTCACTAATTAGGGCTAGCCTACACAGAAAAGGAACCTAACTATTCCATAAGCATGCTCCCAGCACTGTTGAAGTTGGTTCCACAAATCCATTTACACTTGTTTTTAATTTGCTTCGCAAGTATTCTTAAGGTATTTTCCCCATGTGTCCTGTCTGTACAAGAACACAGGGACCATGTAGGTCTGTGTTCACAGCTCTACCCCTTAGCACCCAAGACAATGCTGAGTAGATGGTTCAATAACCACCTGGGGTATGAACTCAAGGGCAAGGACGTGGTCTTGCAATTTTTATGTCACTTCTGACTACAAATGTACTATCCTGGGAATTCAAACAAATGCTACTGACTACATGCAGAAAGGAATTACATTTAGTAAGAACAGAGAGTAAGTACAATTAGTACCTTTTTTCCCCTCTTTCTTCCCTTCAGACCACTTCAATCTTGTTGGTGTCATCGTGACAGCTGGAGAGCCAGAAAATAACTGTAATAAGAAAATTGTACAGTGGTTTCAATGTTCTAATGGCATTCCTATAGAGAGACTTTACTAAATGAATTATTTGTTTAATTTCAATGTGAAGAGTTTTTGTGAGACTGACATATTTATATCTCATTAATCTTAACTGATTTACTGCTGGCTTAATGAAGTAGGCATGCCTAGGATATCTTGAAGCACCACCCCACAGGTAATGTAGACCTCAAATGTCACCTGTCACCTGTGGCTCAAATGTCACCTGTCACCTGTGGAATCTCCCAGTAAGAACTAACTGCTTCCTCCAGCACTTGTTTAAGGAGCTATTGTACTGTATTACTCATCTGCTTGTGACTAGTGATATCCTTCTTGAACTCAAAATGTGTGTTTGTTGAATGAATCAATGAAAACCAACAGAAAGAAGGTAGCATAAACGAAAGGACTGAGAAAAAGCCATTTGAATGGCCCAAAGAAACACAGAAAAACAGATGACAGTATATCAATTTTCCTCTTTTCTACAAATATATACACACAGACAGACAGTCCAAAGAACAGTGTCTTACTGAGTTCCTATTTTCTTTGCTGGCTCCCTTCAATTCACCAATGGCCACAGATTCTGGAGTGGGGTTCCTCTTTTTCTTTTCTGACATCATCTGATTTCCCAGGACCTTCCGCTGATTTAAGAACAGAAAACATTTGATTTATAAACACCTACTGTATCAATAGTGGTGAAGGCTAGGATAGCTTTCAAAACTGTATACTAGCCTTCAAAACTGTAATGTCCTTGGGTTAAAAAAATCTCAGCATTCTGATAACTCTGTATGGACCCTCTCAGGCCATCTTACACAAGAGAGGCCAAAGTATGTTACCAAAAAAACCCCAAATCATTACTTTTGTTTAAGTGATCACTTTTCTTCCACATTTAAAAGGGCTGAAAGGTTAGAAGCAACTTTATAGTGGATTTAAACAAGCTAATATAGGTCAATTACAGTGTGCTTCTGAGACCAGTTAACTCACAATATAGAAACACCAGTTATTCATCATATAATTTTTTCTCCAAAGATGTGCTGTCTCTCGCAACTATTTAAAAAGTCCCTCCCCCCTACTCACCACTAAGGGATACTTAGGCTGGCTCTTCTCTAAGGCACTTCTTCCTCCCTGTCATTTACTCACACAGGACTGGAACATTTGGAGACATTCTATAAGAGTTCTTAATATAGCGACAAGAAGGTAGAGTCCTTCTTAAGGGGGTCACATGACTATACTGACATTCAGAGCAAGACTAAAAGCTCTTTCATCTCTGAACAGCTTAGAAATGATGTAGTTTACATAACCGCCAACAGTGACAATTCTACCATCTTTGGAGAAATCTTTCTTTTTTTCCCTTAGAGAATAAATTTGAATTCCAAAAAAAGAACATATCAAAACTAGAACATTAAACCCTACATTATAAATATCAGCAGCAATATTCAGAACATTCTGATTTAATAAATAATTTACATGAGAGGAGTTCTACAGGAAAAATCTCTAGCCAAAAAAGGGATCGAGACAGGCTAGATGGTCAATTATACCTTGATAAGGCTGAGGGAAAACACAAGTTAAAAATAATATTTTAGGCCAGGAGCGGTGGCTCACACCTATAATCTCAGCACTTTGGGAGGCTGAGGCAGGTGAATCACTTGAGACCAGGAGTTTAAGACCAGCCTGGCCAACATGGTGAAATACTGTCTCTACTAAAAATACAAAAATTAATTGGGCAGAGTGGTGCATGCCTGTAATCCCAGCTACTCGGGAGGCTGAGGCATGAGAATCACTTGAACCCGGGAAGCGGAAGTTGCAGTGAGCTGAGATCATGCTACTGCACTCCAGCCCGTGCAACACAGTGAGACTGTGTCTCACAAAAAAAAAAAGACTAACACATAGAGAAACATTTATCTGACTATAACCTTTCTGATTATCAATCATCTCTATTACTGGGAAGTCAGAGGGAATGATAGATTCTTCCAAATGAGAAGAAAAAAATGAGAATAAACTAAGGATGTTCATTTTACTAGCCCTGAATAAGCAGGTAAATGCACTTTTAGGATTCTAGCTAAGAGATTTTTTTTTTAATGGGATAAAAGAAACATAACATAAAATGTACTATTTTAATCTTTTTTTTTTGAGACTGAGTCGTGCTCTGTCACCCACACTGGAGTGCAGTGGCGCGATCTTGGCTCACTGCAAGCTCTGCCTCCCAGGTTCACGACACTCTCCTGTCTCAGCCTCCCGAGTAGCTAGGACTACACGCGCCTGCCACCACGCCCGGCTAATTTTTTGTATTTTTAGTAGAGATGGGGTTTCACTGTGTTAGCCAGATGGTCTCGATCTCCTGACGTTGTGATCCACCCGCCTCGGCCTCCCAAAGTGCTGGGACTACAGGTGTGAGCCACCGCGCCCGGCCCCTATTTTAACCATGTTTAAGTATACAGTTCAGTGGTATTAAGTATCTTCATAGTGTTGTGCAATCATCACCATCATCCATCTTCAGAACTTTCTCATCCTCCCAAACAGAAACACTGTACCCATTAAATAATATTTCCTCATTCTCTTCATACTCTTAGCTCCCCTGACAACCAACCATCTTCTCTACTTTCTGTCTCTACGAACCTGACTCATAGGTACCTCAGTGGAATCATACAGTAATTTTCCTTTTATGACTGGATTATTTCTCTTAGCATAATGTCTTCAAGATTCATGCATATTGTAGAATATGTCAGAATTTCCTTCCTTTTTAAGGACAAATAATGTTCCATTATCTGTATATTCAAGTTTTGTTATTCATTAATCGGTCAATAGACAGCTGGGTTGCTTCTCCCTTTTGGCTATTGTGAATAATGCTGCTATGAAGACGGGTGTACGAATATTGCCTCAAGACCCTGCTTTCGATTCTTTTGGGTATATACCGGGAGTAGCATTGCTGGATGATAAGGTCATTCTCTTTAAATTTTTTAGGAACTGCAATACTGTTTTCCACAGTAGCTGCTCCATTTTACATTCCTATCAACAGTGCACAGGGATTCCAATTTCTCCACATCCTCATCAACATTTGTTATTTTGTTATTTTTTTTTTATAATAGCCATCCTAGTGGGTGTGAAGTGGTATCTACTTGTGGTTTTGATTTACATTTCCCTAATGATTAGTAATGTTGAACATCTTTTCATGTACTTCTTGGCCATCTGTACATCTTCTCTGGAGAAATGTCTATTTTATTCCTTTTTTTTTTTTTTTTTTTTTTTTTGGGAGATGAAGTCTCGCTCTATCACCCAGGCAGAAGTACAGTGGCGCAATCTCGGCTTACTGCAACCTCCGCCTCCTGGGTTTAAACGATTCTCCTGCCTCAGCCTCCAGAGCAGCTGGGACTACAGGCACGTGCCAACATGCCCGGCTAATTTTTTGTATTTTTAGTAGAGATGGAGTTTCACCGTGTTAGCCAGTATGGTCTTAATCTCCTGACCTCATGATCTGCCCACCTCAGCCTCCCAAAGTGCTGGGATTACAGGCGTGATCCACCATGCCTGGCCTTTGCCCACTTTTTAATGAGGTTGTTTTTGCTGTGTTGAGTTACAGGAGTTATTTAGATTATTACGGATATTAACCCCTAATCATACATATGATTTGCAAATATTTTCTCCCAATCCAGGGGTTGCCTTTTCACTCTGTAGATGGCAAAGGAAATTTTGGTGTCAACTAAGCCTAATGTCCTAGAAGCTACTGGCCCCAGGTCAGGATTGAGAGTGAATTCTAGATATCTATAAATTATAACTAGGACCAAAATTACAGTAAGATGAATTTGTAAATGCTAACAGCTGTACCTTAAAAAAAAAAAAAAAAAATTACAGACACAGTGGCTCACATCTGTAATCTCAGCACTTTAGGGGGCCAAAGCAGGAGGATCGCTTGAGCCCAGAAATTCAAGATCAGCAACACAGGCTGTGCATGGTGACTCATGCCTGTAATCTCAGCACTTTGGGAGGCCGAAGCGGGCAGATTACCTGAGGCCAGGAGTTCAAGACCAGGCTGGCCAACATGGTGAAACCCCATCTCTACTAAAAATACAAAAAATTAACCAGGCATGGTAGTGGGCACCTATAATCCCAGCTACTCGGGAGGCTGAGGTGGAAGAATCGCTTGAACCCCAGAGGTAGAGGTTGCAGTGAGCTGAGATCACACCACTGCACGCCAGCCTGAGACACAGAGAGACTCTGTCTTGAAACAAAAAAGACCAGCAACACAGCAAGACCCCATCTCTACAAATATTTAAAAATCAGCCAGGCCTGACGGCATGCACTTGTGGTCCCAGCTACTTGGGAGGCTGAAGAAGGAGGATAGCTGAGTGCCCAGGAGATCAAAGCTGCAATAAGCCACGATAGTGCCACTTGTACTTCAGCCTGGGCAACAGAGCAAGACACTGTCTCAAAAATAAAAAAATAAATATTACAAGTTATTTATTTTTAGGGCAAAAATTTTAAATTTTAAGCAAAGAGCTCCTTATGTGGCTGGAATTATAGATCTTAATAACAATTTTTAAAAGAAAAGCAGGGCAAAACACCAAAAAATCAAAATAAAACGAAATCATTATCCTCAGCAAACTAACACAGGAACAGAAAACCAAACACCACATGTTCTCACTTATGAGTAGGAGCTGGCCGGGTGCGGTGGCTCACGCCTATAATCCCAGCACTTTGGAAGGCCAAGGTGGGTGGATCACTTGAGGTCAGGAGTTTGAGACCAGCCTGGCCAACATGATGAAACCCCATCCCTACTAAAAATACAAAAATGAGCCAGTCATGGTGGTGTACGCCTGTAGTCCCAGCTACTTGGGAGGCTGAGGCAGGAAAATGGCTTGAAACCAGGAGGCGGAGGCTGCAGTGAGCCGAGATCAAGCCACTGCACTCCAGTCTGGGTGAGAGAGAGAGCCTCCATCTAAAAAAAAAAAAAAAAAAGTGGAGCTAAACAATGAGAATACATGGACACAGGGAGGGGAACAACACACACTGGGGCCTGTTGGGGGGTGTGGTTGGGGGAGAGAGAGTATTAAGAAAAATAGCTGGCCAGACGCAATGGCTTATGCCTGTAATCCCAGCAATTTGGGAGGCTGAAGTGGACGAATCACCGGAGGTCAGGAGTTCCAGACCAGCCTGGCCAACATGGTGAAACCCCCTCTCTATTAAAAAGACAAAAATTAGCCGGGTATGGTGGCAGGCACCTGTAATCCCAGCTACTTGGGAAGCTGAGGCAGGAGAATCACTTGAACCCAAGAGAGGGAGGTTGCAGTGAGCCGAGACTGTGTCACTGCACTCCAGCCTGGGTGACAACAGTGAGACTCTGTTTCAAAAAAAATTTTTTTAATAAAAATAGCTGCTAATGCATGCTGGGCTTCATACCTAGGTGATGGGTTGACAGGTGCAGTAAACCACCATGGCACATATTTACCTATATAACAAACTTGCAATCCTGCACATGTATCCAGAACTAAAAATTTAAAAAATAAAATAAATTAAAAAAAGGATACTCAGTGCTTTGGGGGCAGCAATCTCTTCCAAAAAAAAAAACAAAAAAAAAGAAAAGTAGAAAAGAAAAGCAGTGTATGGTACTAATCTCTCTCCAAGTTAACCAAAACCTTGCCTTAGTTCATGCATGGAAATTTGAACCCCATGATCAGGTTATCTACTGCCACCTTAAGGCAATATTCCTTCACTACAAGTTCCGATAGTCTGAAGACTTGTAAATTTAATCTGCAAACACCACGACAGCAGCAATAACATGGAAGCATATTTTGTATTTGTTTTAAAAACAAGATTTTTACTGAATTTGATACATGGAAGAAAGTACAACTGTTAAAAATATTAAGCTCACAAAAATCTGGGGTATCAAAACTCACTAGTCTATCAGAAAATTCCGTTTTCTAACAGTTTCCCTAGTCTGTCACAACTTCCTCACTTCTCCACAGGTTTACCAAATTGCATTAAAAAGTGTGTAACTTGAAGCAGGTCAGAAAACAAAAGAGGCCGCTTACACTGCTCAGGAATGCAGACTCTGTCCTCAGCCCCAGAAGAAAAGGAAGGACCCTTACTTCTAGTACTCCTCACTTCACAGAGCCCCTTCTCTGATGTGAAACACGGCAAAGCGCTTTGCAATATAAAAGCTTTTCAACATTTTGTCTTCACCCCCTTATAAATTAGCCCTTTATAGGGTCCCCAAAAACAGAAGAAAACTTTTTATGCATAAGAAAAATCACACTGTTATATTTCCTAAAAATCAATGCTGAAAATGACAGCCCAGCACACCTACCTTAATAAGCCCACTGAAGGAGCGTGAACGAGCCCTCTTTTGTACCTGGGAAGCAGAAGGTTCTCGCCCTGGTGTCTGGGTCAATGACTGCTTATTAAACTAAAAGAAAACATAGAGAACATTTTATAAATATTTTCCCATCAAGACACAGCATTCTGTGACAACTAATAGCTAAGTGTAAATAAAAGTCCAGGAAAAACTGAGTCTGTGCATAGATGGATTAGGAGGTCAACAAGCAAATCACAAAGTCAGAAATGATGATGCCAAAAGAATTGGATTCAATTGCTCTGAGGGGCTCTGCACGCCACATTCCTTGAATGTAGAATTACTGTCCCTATTTTGCAGACCAAAAAACTGAGACTTGGAGAGTTTATGAAATTTACCCACGATCCTCAGCTGCTAACCAAGACTTTTTTGCAACAAAGCATCTTGGAACCACAGAGTTATTGGCACAATCTAAAACAGTCCCTAATTTAACATAAATTGCATACAGAAATTTTTTAAGTTACTAAAACTCTTTAAATGGACATCTATCATGACTGCCGGCCAACAATATCGTCAGAGGAAATACATCAGAATGCAGACTTGTCAATGCTATCAACATCAGCTCTCTAGAGGTACCTAAAATGGAAAATGAGAAGACCCAATGCATTGAATAATCTTATTCAATGCTTTGATTAGCCATTCATTTCCCACTTAAAAAGTAATAATAATATAGCATTTAACTCTTCTACTCTTCTGCCTTTTCTGGTTGTTGTTGTTGGAGACAAGAGTCTCACACTATTGCCCAGGCTGGAGTGCAGTGGCACAATTGCAGCTCACTGCAACCTCCGCCTCCCAGGTTCAAGCAATTCTCATGCCTCAGCCTCACGAATAGCTGGGATTACAGGCGTGCGCCACCACACTCAGCTAATTTTTTCTATTTTTAGTAGAGATGGGGTTTCATTGTGTCGGCCAGGCTGATCTCGAACTCCTGACCTCAAGTGATCCGCCCACCTCGGCCTCCCAAAGTGCTAGGATTACGGGCGTGGGCCACCACACCCAGCCTCTTCTGCCTTTTCTAACTATACTTTGAAAATTTCGGAATTGTAAAAATTTGGAAATTTTATCAGTTCGAGTTCTGGAGGTTAAAAATTATTTTTACATAAAACTACCAAGAGGTTCTCAAAGTTAATTATCTTGGCAAGCAGAAAAATTAGCCACGTCTAAAGAGCTTAGCTAGTAAGTATCCCTCCTGAATAAATTGGGACAAGTAAAAATGCATCGTTCCTGATGTTGGCAAGGGTACAGTAAGGTAAATTCTCTCATATCCAACTCGGGGGAGTGTTACCTGGCAAAATGTTCTGGGAGGGTATTTAGCAAGGTGTATCCAGAGCCTTTTTAAAATGCATATTAAAAAGTACACGCCACTAAAAATACAAAAATTAGCCAGGCATGGTGGTGTACATCTGCAGTCTCAGCTACTCAGGAGGCTGCAGTGGGAGGATCATGATCACCTGAGGTTGAGGTTGCAGTGAGCCATGATTGTGCCACTGCACTCCAGCCTAGGCAACAGACTCAGGAAAAAAAAAAAAAAAAAAAAAAAAACACCACACATAAAGAGTTCTTAGCCTGAAAAACTGAATTAGAATCAGATCAAACCTCTAGAAGTAGATCTAACTACCAGTTTATAGCATGAACA